AGTCTTTGAGGGCACCAAAGGTTTGGGTCCACATCCCTTCACGTATTATGCGCTAGCAAGCCGACAGATCTAAATACTGAGCTATGGGGTCAGAAGTCAGGGAGCTGTGAGAACAGGCAAATTCTGTACGTAGGGCAGGTTGCCGTGACTTGGCTGTTTGCTTGTGACAAAGCTAAGCATCCGCTCCCGTAGAGCGTCAGTCGCGGTTTGCTGTTTGCGTCAAAGTGCATGTCTGTCAACAGCAGCAGGAGTGACTGGCTGAGTGTAGGTTATGTGATTGGCTGAATTAGGGAAGGAATGGGGTGGGGGACGTACTCAGCCAGGGCTCACGGGTATCATGCCAGTCCATCCAACGCGCGTGAAGTGAAGAAGGTTTGCGAGGTCAGCCTGGGGTCAGTGCAGCTGCACAGGAGGTGTCTCTGTTTTAGACGGCGGTGGTGGTCGTGTGTCAACAGCCTGTCCATGGTTGTCGCGGCCATCGATCGACAAAACGGTGCTCCGGAGAGAGAGAACTGGGGCGGGTGCTAAAGGAGCTCTTTGTCGAGCACAAAAGCACAACGAGTCGCACAGATCCCCTAAACTGATCAGTAAATGCATGTCCAAACGTTACTGCTTCCGATCCAACCGGCGAGACAACAAACCCGAGTAGGGCTTTTGGCTTTTAAGCGGTAAATCACTTAAAGAACGCGAGTCAAATCTCAGATGTTCACAAAATTTGGTCTAGTCTCGGCTTGCTGACGATGACATTCCTAGTCTCCCTTGCCGTGGGCGTCAAATTAGACTCTCATATGAGCAGAAGAGGTCATAGTGTCATTTGACGTCACCTCGCTCTTCAGTTCAATCTCGCAGAGCCTGACCATCGAACCGGTGAGAGAATTGCTCGAGAGGCAGTATGACGAGACGAACGAGTCGGTTAAACGGAGACATCTAGTTCAACTCCTAAAATTGTGCCTGAAGACGTACTTCACCTTGTAGGGGATCAGTTACGAACAAATTAAGGGGACGTTGATGGGATCGCCTCTCTCCGGCGTCATCTCTGAGGCAATTCTGTAAAAACTAGATGGCCTGGTTTTCACAACTCACAGACCAAAGTTTTGGACTCGGTACGTCGATGACACCTCCGTCATAATCAAACGAGAAATGATCGAGGATTTTCATGGTGTCCTGAATTCCTTTTTTTCGGACATCTTATTCACGATGGAGGCGGAAAACAAAAACCAGCTGCCATTTCTCGACGTTTTTGTTCATCGAAAACCCAACGGGCACATAAAAACGACGATGTACAGGAAGGCTACCAACACACTCCAAATCCTAAGTTAGCACAGTAAACACCCGTCATGTAACAAAGACAGCTGTGTTCGAGCTGTCTACAGTAAAGCAGAAAAACACTGCAACGAACAGGATGAAAGAAGGACAGAGCTCTACTATTTTCAGCGTCTTTTCATACCCAACAGATACCCCCGTAACTTCAACGGACGCAGCAGACAGTCTAAACCGGGCCACATTTGGGTGGCAGAACAGCCAAAAGTCTGGCCTGCACTTCCCGCCTCCTAAGACGCTTGGGTATTCGGGATCGCTCATCAACCAGGCTCAACAATTCGACATTTGGTTATGAGATCGAAGGCCCCCCACGCGGTGAGACGACAAATGCCATCTGCCTGGTCCTGTGTAACTCATGCGAAGCTAACTACATCGGAGAGACAGGCAAACAATCACAACCCTGCGTTAACGTTACATGCGGGCAGTGAGAAGAATAGACCCATTGTCTCTGGTGGCGGAACACTGCTCGGACTCTAGACACACTTTCGCCTTCCAGAACGCCAAATTTCTGGGTCGAGGCAATGATCGCGTAGCCAGGGAAACGATCGAGGCCTGGCACACGGAGACAACCTCAATAAACCGTTGTGTCGCCTTCCCGTCAGCCTACCAAGCCCTCCGGACATAGCTCAACGAAATAAAGAGCAAGCGCGAAGTCTGGTCGGACGTGAATCCAAACACGGTAGAACCTTCGACGGACCTGCAGGTAGCCACACCGCAAATCGAGCCCGACGAAGACGCGGTCATCAATACTGTTGCCTCAACTACTACTCCGGCAGACGAGGAGAAACGCAGTCAGAGGGATGCAATCAAGACTAGCAACCCAGCGCGACAATTAAGGTTATCGCGAATGCGGGCGATGGCCACCAACGTTCAAATGCCGCCCCCGACGTCAGACATGCAGACTGACAGCAGTCACTCTCCCTTCCGCTCTGCCCAGGTGACTACAGAATCGATCCCTGTGCGTATGCGGGACATTAGCGCCAAAACCGATTAACCACTTCCCCCGTATAATTACCTCCGTGTTACAATAACTGTTATCTATCCCCCCCATATAAATACGTTGCACGATACTCACCTCCGACGATGAAAGCTTGTCTGCTTTTGAAACGTCAGGACATTACAATCATGGTTCCCGGGATCGCCACTCCTCCTCATATATTTATATATATGTATGCAGTATGGTATTACCGACAGAGGCAAGGGAGACTGGAATGGCCATTTCTGGCTTGTTAGCCGTCGTCAGTCAGTCATACCCAACCCTGAAGTGTGAAACACCCGTGGCTCGAACTCGCGACCTGTTAGATAGATGTCAACGCCTCTAACCACGGGCCACGAGCCCGATTCCCTGTAGGTTTCGATCGGGAATATACAATGGTAGGGGGCGCTCATCGATCGTTCTTACGGAACTCACTCGTTCCGTTATGCCTTACGAGTTCTGTCTCGAGCCCAATCAGCAGCCGCACAGCGGCGCATAATATAGGCACTATGGAACAACAGAATAATTGAGTTCCACATATTCCCGACCGATACTGACAGGGCAACGGGCTCGTGGCTCAGAGACTAAAGACGTGTAGTTCTAACTAACAGGTTGCGAGTTCAAGCTTCAAGTGTTCCACACTTCGGAATAGGGTTTATGATTTTGTCTTTGTCCTTGTCTTTGTCGGTAATACCATACTGCCTATATCATGCGCCGCTGTGCGGCTGCTGGTTGGGCTCGAGTGAGACCGGTGAGCGCCCCCTACCATATATATGGCAAAGAGAAAGATGGCATGAAGTGGGGTGAATTGATACAGAACTGTTTCAGACGTGTCCCGCTTAAATTCGTCTTGTAAGAACCCAACCAGCAACTGGTACCAGAAACAAAAGCATGGGATAAAACAGCGCGCACATAGTTCGCAAACAGGACCAATCAGATGGGTCTTAGCCGTTTTATCGAACCAAAGCACATCAGTACGTCTGCATTTACCATTTTCTGTCGTTACAGATCGTACGTTTATTCAAGCAATAATGAGCGCTTCAGGAAACTAGCGAATCGGTCGCTAGAAAGTACGCAGCGAAATTTCATAAATCCACTGGTTGGCAAATATGATGTATTTGTGTTCACCGTTAGGCAGAAGTTTAACGCGGTTGAATTAGTCAGTACTCTTTAAAAAACCCTACGATCATCCCTGACTCCGTTCGCAGAACGAGAGTGATCATCGGACTCCATTTTCACTGCAATTCAGCTCACTACTCTTTGATCTAGCCCGATGCGCTAAGCGTCAGGCCTTGGTGAGTTACCAGATCAAAGAATGACTCGGTTCAGCTGAGAGGATTGTGAAGAGACCAGCGGGTTTGGGGGCAGGTTACGATGACAGCATCTTAATTTTGTGTTCCTAGCACTCTAGTGAACGTCAGGCCCGAACCGCCAGCTGTAAGTCAACCTTTCTGTCAACCGCTGCCTCTTATTCGACCTCTGCGAGAGAAGGGTGAGCGTTATGGACGCATCACAAGCCCGTCTCGCTATGAAAGAGTCCACATAGGGTTGCGGTTCTACGCCCTTTCTATGGTGCACCCAGTGGACGTCGCCGTTTCACGACTATTAAACTATCACATCCCCGTTTTAGGTGGTTCGACGAACATTAAATTTGGTCTCGTTGCAATGTATGGGCTTTTATCTAGTACCTGTGCTGTTAGTATGGTAAAACCTCATCCTACAATTATGCTACTAGCTGCCTGTCGGCAGTTAATGCAGATGAAGCGGTTTCCTGTCGTGACTGATGAATTTGGCCCAAATATTCATGTATATAGTTCTCGGTCTGAGCCTATAGACCTTGAATAAAATGATCTAATCCAACTACGTAGATGATTTCTGGGGAAATTAAAAAGCGACAATTACATTTGGACGTGTGGGCAGAGTGCCTTTCGCCTCTTGGGCGAATGTGTGTTGCAGGGCAAATTATCGACGAAACACGCGTTATGGGCTTTTACCTAGTACCTGTGCTGCTAGTATGACATTGTCTTACCCCAGAATCATTTATATTTGCTGGCGGAGTTCACTGAGCAAATATTTTTACATCGGCTTTCGAATATCAAATCCAGAGAGAAAGATGACCGATCCAGTTGGCCAGCAATAAAACAAGGTCGCTTAGATGCTAAAGGGCATAGCGCCCGATTTCTCCCAGAAGTGGACTTGTAAGTACCTCTTAACGCAAGAAACTGCTAGAGGAGTCCCTTAGCGACGGGATCGATCACTGCTGACCCACCAGGCACTCGTATTTTCAAACGGTCTACGCATACTCGCTGTAGACGTAACTTAAATTAAATATGTAAACTCAAAACGAATTTATAAAATGCTCTTTTACACAGTGGGAATGGCAATTCAAAGAGTTCTGTTTTGTGGAGAGACACGCGAAGTGACTTGTTGGGGGTTATACCCCCCTGAGGTAGGCGGGGACGTTCGACTCTTCCTGCGCATACTGGACTCATTTGCATTTACTTTCTTCCCCTCTGCGTATTCCTGTTCTGAGCTTCTGGTTGGACAGCGGTTTTGTCGCTGTCTGAGATCGCGAACAAACAGTTCTCGCTTCCTGTCCATTTAAGCGTTCGTAATACGTGAAAGGCACAGGCATAGTATGGGAATTCTTCGACCAATGTGGAAGTACAGGTCGGAGACCCAAGGTGTGACCATTGGGTCAGTGTCAGACAGCTTCTGTGACTGGGTTATGTTCGATAACAGAAGCGGCAGCAGCAGCAGCAGCAGAGGGGGAGGGGGAGGTGGGGGAAGGCGAAGTGGACTGGGGAGTTGGGGGCTTCCGTGAGGTGGCACCGGCGGCAAGGGAGATGCGATTTTGCATGTGCCGTGAGGTTGACAGACCAAGGAGTTGTAGATCCTGCACCGAGTTTATACCGGCCTCTGCGTCAGCAGCTGCGGCTAGAACACCGGGCAGGTCAGTGCCGACACCCTTGTGACCTGTTCCGAAGGCCTTAAATGGCGAGAGCTTGAACCTCGATCCACTGACAGCCGGCGACTCCGAGGGAGATCCACTGGCGTTGAGTTTGGTAGCTTTGCGAGCAGAGGCTGCCAAGGCCTTGGCCGCCTGTTTAGCCTCATTCAAGAGGGTGGCGTAGAGATCGGAACGCAGGAAGCGTCGGTAGGAATCCCTCTCCATCAGAGCCTGGATCCGTTTTTGGGCATTCTCGAAGGTCCGCGAGGAGGGGTTAGACAGTTCTGCCACTGTCTGATCTCTAGTCGCCGAATCAAGATTAACCTTTATGGAGGGGTAGAAAGGGAAAATGTTAAAGACGTCTGAGAGCGTAAGTTCTGAACTGAAGTTGGGGCCTACACAGTGCTCGATCATCCCCACTTTTACGACAGCTTATTTTTGGCTACAAATTTTTGAGCGTCACGCACAATGGGTTTTGGACAAATTACAGGTAGCGTTGTAAGAGCTTGGATTTAAATAAATCCAAACAATCTTCATTACTTAAGTTATTTTTCACCACAACGACATCTACGAGGCAAAAATGCATGTGGTAGTTGCTTACGATCTTTTGAGCAACAACCAGCGGTACAACTGATAATCGCTGAAGGCTGAGTACAGACTGTCAAAATTAGCGTTTAAATGACGCCAATGGTTTTGCTATCTATAGGATATCTCGCTTTTTCTTTGGACCACGCAAGTTTTAAGGCTCAGCTAGTTTTAAAGCGTTGATTATACTCAAGTATTGCTTTTAATTTTGTTGGTTCTTATCCCACCGAGGCCGCTGAGACTTTTTCAAGCTAGAAAATCCTCATTTATATGCATATATATATATTCTACCTACACTACTTGCCACTATGCGGTTGCTGGTGGGTATTTAGACTGAGCAAGAAGAGAAAACGGACATTAGTGCCTCGTGGCGCGATCAGCAAGCATCGCTTTACAAACAGCACAACGAGCGTGTTGCTTAGTGGTTGGAGCGCCGAGATACCAACCAAGAGAACCTGAGTTCGGACCTATGGATAAGAAAAGCCAGGAGCTGAATATGAGTTACTGACAACCGTCACTGAACCTGAAGTGTTAATTTCATTCTGCCTTCATCAGCAATGATATCTCCCACAACTTATTTTATTCTCACCGTCCTCACCGTTTGCAAAACCATTCAAAATGTAAAATGCAATCGATGCAATAAAATGTATCCAGTGGTACCCTAGTGTTATCTGAGGAGCCAATCTACGAACCTTCATAGCCATGTCTAGCATGGATAGTATTATGACTTAAATATCCATTTATTCATTCGCATCGCATCGTATCTTTACTATCCAAATGATCGCGCCAAATGGCGTACCATGCTTCCGAGAGGACGATAAAAATACGTGACTTAAGCGACTCAGCAGACTCCAAATCAGTCTCGGCATTGTTCAGTTACACAGTCCTGGCCACCGACAAGTATTTCATTATATAAAAGACTGCAGGAGTTCCTTAATTAAACCGAAAGAGCTGACTTAGTCCAATCCTACCGTCAGTACCTTTTGCAAACCTCTCATCAGAAGAGGTTCTACACTCTATCCATAACGCTTTATTGTCGTTTGATAACTTGGGTGTGGTAAGCGAACGGCAGCCATTGTACAATAATGTAGGAATTAATTATGAACCGTAGGATCTGAGGCGTAAATTAAGTGCGTAGTAATAAGATTCAAAGCCCAAGTGTCAACCATAAATACTGAAAATTTTATGTGCTTTTAAAACTAGCAAATTATTAGCAGTCTTGTGCAAAATGACGTTTTCCTGTGACGTAGACTTTAAGGTTATTGCAGAGCAGACGTTTCTTTATAGAAAGCAGTTGAGCAAAGAAGCGCAGATAGTGTAGCACGTGCTAGAACCTACATTTTGACAGCTGATGCAACTTCTTCATAACTGTTAATTTTCCCACAAATTCTAATTATAGTCGGACGCAAAAATATACATTTGAAGAGCATGCGAAAATTCCGGAGAAAATATTTGATAGGATGTTTAAGGAACATCTTAATTCTAACGATAAATATCGTTATTTCGAGGCCTTCTATTTAAATCAGTTGAAAGATCGCAAATACGAGACAACTGATTATCCAAACCAGCAATTTTCCAAAACGCTTTCGAACAAATAATATTGGTTTAATCATTACTCCAGCAAGCTCGTCAAAAGTTGACAGTGACAGCCATCAGAGTGTTTAATTTGGAAAACTCTGTGATTTAATACCACTTTTAACTCAATGCTTTAATCAACCAATGAGAATTCGTCAGGCCGAAGGTTCAAGCATATCCCGCAATATGAAGAAAGGGGAATATAGATAATCTTTACGTATTTATATTGCCATTTTCAACGGTGCATTGATTAGAGTCTAAAAATGCAATCTTGTCAAGTCCACAAGAAGCCAATTTAACGTGTCTATTCTCACAAGACTCCTATGATGCCAGCTGTCGGTGGTAAACAATTATACACAAGTTTATGCAGTGATATAATGAATGTTATTAATGAAAAGTCAGCGATTTCTGCATATTAATCGGCTTTTCTAGGCCAATGCTAAATATCCGACCCGACTGACAGTATGGTGGCTGCCATAAATGAGCATTAGAGTTCTTTTGGCGCTTTCCACTTGTGGTTAACCTAGACAAGAGCGTGTGAAAATGCCATGGACGAAAGCCTTGAAGTGCTTTCTGGAAGTTAAGGTCGGAGAAGGAGAAATACCCTTCAGTTCTTAATTATCTTCATGAATTAACAGCAAAGTCACTTTCTTTTTTCCCCGTAAATAAATATGCGTGCAAAACGTGGATAACATATTAACCGCTAATTCTAACGGTTGGCACCAGTGAAAATCGCCGAGAAACTTTGTGCAAAATTCACCCTTGATGGTCTGTCCCTCCAAAGGACTCAAATTTCCTCAGTTTTAGTTTTGATCACACCAAGTAGAAAAAAGGGCATATAGAGATTAAGATAGGAAGGCTGGCGCTCAACTAAGACGGGTTTTTGTTCATTGGAGAAAACTAAAATCGCAGCTCAAATTTAAATGTTCGTCACACCCTCGGCCTACAAGTAACACTTCACCTTGTTGATAAGAGAAGAAGTAGATTTTTACTCACTTCAACTATCGATTATGGCAGCATTTCCCAGACAGGCCAGCTATAAAACGTCTTTTGTGAACCGCAGTAAACGATCGTCGTTGCCAAGTGTTCATCTTGAATTCAATTTTCCCACTTGATGTTGAGCTTTACCGATTGGATTACCGGAAAATGCGTTTAAGAGTTTGATTCGAATTAGCATTGGTTTGAAACGGTTCAGTAAGATAAAACATAACGAGACGATGTCAGCTGTTTTCAAACTCCATACCCGCACAACGCCGACGCGATTTTTGTTTCATGTGACTACCGATCATTAATTTGTACTGTAGAGTATTGTGCAATGAGTTTGCCTCAGGTGAGCGCATCGATAAACAGTTTGGCAGAAAACTCGCTGGCAAATTATGAATGGCCAATGACGCCAAAATAGACCAGATAAGAGACGGAAGCTTTATGAGGCAGTCAAGAATGTGGGTCGCTGGACGTCTCGGATTCCGGCTGGAGGCCGTAATATGTGGCTGTCTTCGAGGATGTGTATAAAAGTGAGTCTGAAACAAGTGGCGCGTTAAGGCCATTTCTGCAGTAATGGTGCCACCATCATCTCATAAATTTAATCGTGCTTATGATTTGCTTTAACAGGCATGCTTATTTATGTAAGTTATATTGAGAAAATAGTATTGTAAGATTACGACTAATGCGACAGAAATTGGACCTAAACTGCTAAAATGACTTTTTGCCCATGGTAAAATTTAAGCTAAATGCTTGTCCCTCTGTACTTTAAGGCTACACACGAAGTTTTTCATCAGCGGGCTTGAATATCTAATTTGCGACCTAACTCAGGACATGTGAGGACACAATTTTTGAGGGTTCATTGTAGACATCTCAAAGCTTGCTTATTTTTCTTATTTGTCTGGTCTTTTTCGAAAAAACATCTTTTTGCATGCAGACTACGCTTGCAAACAAACATTTCAATCAAACTGATAACATATTTGATCGAACATATTCGCTAACACTGCATTTGTTCAATGTGCAGACTTGGTATTTCGGCGTCTTCTTCTGTCGAAGCAGAGTAATCAAAAATGAAGGATTCTACCAGGCAACACTTTCTGTAAATAAAAGGTGATTTTTTATTCACGCTAATCAAATAGGGCAAAAAGGCTAGTTTTGGAAATACAGACAAGCCATTAATTTTAAAAGTCCAAAACACAATTCTAACGTTTTTAGGAAATTTATTTTTAAGCTGTCCAAAATTTTCACGCACCTCGCAAACACCGGATTTACTACCACGAAAAGGCTCTCTGCCAAATGTCTACGCTAGCCTTAAGCATATGATAAGATTCTTCTTCTATCTTGCTTGCGCCTAATTTAGAAATGGCGTTGATAGACGTTTTACATTTCAGTTCTGTCTTCTAACTTATGTGATCACACCTTTGTGCATGTATAATCGTAGAACGCGGCCTCACGCAAAACAACGATAATGCCAACCAACTGACAGTAAAGGTGACTTCATTCTTTTATAGCGAATGTGATCCTTTTTTGTAGGAAAGGAAAAAAACTGACCAATCTTTGCAATTTCTACCTTAAATTTACCTTTAAAATGCAATACATATAAACATCCCTTAGCAAGATAACGTATTGTTATGTTTTTTAAAGTTCGTAAACTGGTCTTTAGGTTAGTCATTGTCGACGTTCGCTGCACGTGGCCATGGAGTAGAACATTCAGAGTAAATCTACAAGTATAACCAAAACGGGCACTTGCATTAAAGGGGGTATGCCGATACTGAATTAAGAACCTTAAGAAATACCTTATTTAGATGTATCAAACACGCCTAGTACAATATCTGCCTGTATGCGCAATCCATTGAAAATCTAAAAATCATTACATATTCACCGGATCTTTGACGATGCTTTGAAAGTCATCGTACGCGTCATATAAAAACTGTAACTAATTTTGGCGGGAAAATTCTCATATTATACAGCAATTTTGGCTCTTTTAACATTGCACCCGACAAATCATTTCAAATATTTCAACGTCTGATCTGCCCGTCTATATGTTTTCTTATGAAAAAATTTATTCGTGTCAGATCCACACAGCCAAGTATCGTGAGACCGTATCAAGATCTACATCCAAATCACATGCTGCTATGTGACTACCATATAGGATCATCATTAAATTTTTAAGATATTTGATCGTTTACTTAATTAAAGGTTCAATTTCAAGCGTTATTACCCAAACGCTGTTGCATTTACCCAGTTCTTATGATAGGTATGTTTTTTTGTGCCGATAGATCAATTTTCAAAGTTTTCAGAACGTTCGATCTTCTAAGAAAAACGGTATTAAAAGCCTACTGTTGCATTTAGTTTTTTGTTTTCAATTTGTTAAAAATTACCTTGAAAATGTGGAGTTTTAGTGCATTTGTTTATGTCTGTGTTCGAGGAATTAGCAACGTTTCCTACATATAGGTATATAAAGTGAGTTTTCCAAATAATTAATCCTAAAAAATAAATATGGGGGATTTAAGTGGGCATTTCTGTCTTGATAATCGTCATCATCCAGCCATGCCCACCGGTACGATTGCGTTCAGTATTCCGATTGGTAGACACAAATCTAGGCCAATTTTTATTCCTGATCGCAACAGCGCACACGAGGCTCTATTATAGTGCATTTATGCCGTTGGCAAAAAATCCCTTATCTGAATCCGAAGTGCATAAACTTTCGAAGTTGAATATAACAACTGAGGGGGGCGAAACTGGACATTCTGGTCGCCGCTGTATTCCTTTGTACTTTGATAAAACGAAAGCCATCTATTTAATTTATAAATACACACACAGACACTTTTAAGCGTGCTTCCTTTTCGAAATTCCGAATATCTTCAAATTCCCCTTCTCCAAACGTTTATTCTAGCAAATTTCAGCTTCAAAAGGTTTTTAACAGTATGTGCTTTTTTGTCGGTTGGACTACCGACGCATGTACAAAAAATGCAGTCGGAAATTGCGTATGCCAATAGATGGAACGGGGAAGAGTTTTTGTTTAGCTGATAGTTTCCTCACCGATCAAGATATAAGAAAAATTACAGAGTCGATGGAAGGCAAGGAGCCATAAATTCTAGCCGCTAGGGTCCGGAGAAGCTGAGGTTTGTAAATATAGCATATCGTGAATCTACTGACATCGACCCAGTTCGTTGGATTCATCAGGACAGAACAGTTGCGAAATATCGCAAGCGTTAGTAGGAGGCCCCGGATCTTCATCACTTGCAAGGAGTAGCTGTTACGTTAGCCATGGAACTCACTTGGTCAGCTGAACGACTAAGATGCGTGCGAATTTGCTCCTGGACGTGGTTATATTTTAATCCTGGTCGGTATTTTGCCGATTGTCGGCAACCAAACGTGGCTCATGCGCACACACAACATGCGGCTGGCTTTTAGGACACCGTGACCTCTGCCTTATGGGCTGCCTCTACATCCTCTGCATTACCCCATTCGTTCTCTTTTCTAGTTGCCGACTATCAGGTATCGACAGCTTGTCTATCATCGCCAGAACTAGTGACCCCCGTCACTTTTTGACCTCACTGACGTCTCCTCAAAAACACAAAGACAGTTATCGCAACAAATAAGTGGTCAATGCTGCAGTCAACTCACAGTATAGATGAGTTTGTGGAATATTACCATCGCTTTTAGGCTTAATGTTATCTGTTACAAGCGTCTTCTTTCGCATTCAGTAGCCAACGGCTCAGGTGCTACGAAGCAAAAAATTCACTGAGTGAACGTAATCATGAAATACCAACCAAAATTCCGGAATGCATTTTCATCTCAAAAATATTAATTAAGTAAGGGTGTGAAAATAATCATCATTTAGCATAGTTCCATAATAATTCAGTTGGCTAAGGATGCCGCCATTGACAAGTACTTTATTTCGGCTAGAGAAAAACTATACTCAGAAGACGAGGTGGCGAACATGCGTAGCTTTCGGTGAATTCTCGCCGGCCGAAACAATTATAGGGGACGGGCGTAGAAGTAAAACACGTAACCTCGTCTTCTGATTTCCGCTATGAGAATTTTCGTCAGTCCAAAAACTAAACTCTGCAAAAAGTGCCTACCTAGTTAGCATGCATTTCCTCATCGATTTTCGATGCCCTTAAATATTTATTTATATTTCACGGAAGACATGTAAAAATGATTCATTTTCTTGCTCATTCGAATGTAAATTACCAACGTTCTCAAAGCTGTACTCGAAAGCAAGGTATAGCTCGCTTTTCGAAATTTTCCCAACTTCCGATTTGCGAAAACTTACATGTCGTTACAGTATCAGAAATGATTTCAAAACTAAATGATTTCAAACTATACATGCTTTCCATGAACTAGGATTGTCTTTCTGAGGGCACCGAAAATCAATGAGAAAAATACATGCTACGTAAGCAGTCATTTTTCCCGAATATAGTTCTGGCATGCAACCAGAAATGAATTCGTTCAAAAGCCGGCCTTATTAGGTAACTGATTTAGAATAGAATGAGGATTTGTCTTTTAACGATACTAACTTAATATTTTCGAAACGAAAACGAATTATTGAAATTTCCGTTGGCATTTTCTGAGTCCGCCAAGCTGCCGTACATTAACACGTATGAACTTCGAAGTTTCTGGGTATTTTGCTTAAACTTTATTGAATAGTTTGAATGGAGGGTGTTCTGTGCTTTAAGATAATTATGCGTTTCTTCAGAGTTCTTTTTGCTAGGAAATGGAATAGGCGTGTTTCTATAACTCTGTTGGTGTTACAGTGTTTCCCCATCTCTGTGTCTACACACTGCCAGTCCGTTTTATGACAATTCCGGACTACAACTAACTCGTTAAAAATCATCCACTCAGGCCTCCAGTCTTGGGGGCAGGTCAATGCCCCCAAAAGTAATGCGATTTTTTCTGTCAATCCTGCCTAGTACTGTTAAAAAACGGGGGGCGTTCGCTGACGGCAGTAGCGACTGCCGCGGCCAGAATCCGGCACGCAACCTAGCTGATGCCTACCGTGCTCACGTCGATTAAAGCCTGGCTGGTTTTTGTGGTCGGAAAACTGACAGATGGCCGTCAGGTTTTAATCCTACGTAGGCAGAGTGTACGTTGCTTGAGATTTAACGTAGCAACTTAAAGGAAAGTAGAAGGGTTTATCGCGAGTCCGGAAAATGCGTTTTACATGAAGACTTCCGGGGAAAAGTAGAGATTTTCTGCAATCTTACTGTCCGCCAGGCAACATAGAAACACCAGTTGACAATAGAAAGTGTCCTGATAATGTAAATGTGGGAAAACCTTGTCTGTGAAATAGAGATTATCGTTGACAATAATTCCTATAAATCATGCTACCCAAATCTGTACGTTTAGCTCTTTAGTGTATTGTTTAGGTCAAAAATAAAATTATGCTTCATTTTACATTATGTTATTCCAATGTCTTTTAAAACTCACTTCACGGCCAGCTTGAGGAGCCATGAAATCTTCGTATATCCTCTGAGCTTGACCCTGCATTTTCTTTGGCTGACTGAGTTTTTTGTAATTCTCGCATGCAATCCAAAATTCAATGTTTTCATCACTGAATTCGGTTGTCAGGAAATCCTTGAAGAGAGCGAGTCCATCTAGACGGACGTAAAATATGATTAAAAAATAGTAGCCGTTAGGAGGTTAATAAATCAAATTAAATATGTGCGCAAATCACCAGAAAGCTGTAGGAGTATGATTTCGAACAACTCTGTAATCAATAGATTTGAATTATGCAAGTTTTATTGGTTTCTACATTCGATTGCTGATAAATAGACGACAGTAAGCGGTGGTTCTGCAAAGAGCAGTTAATGCATGTAGGTATAGCTATTTTTTAATAAAGGAAAAATTTAAAATAGGGAAATTGACGTAGAGGGAGCAATTAGTACGCCCTTGCCAACTGAATGTTTGCGCTGCGTGTGACTGTGTCCTCAACTCAATGAATTTGCGGCGAAACGGTAGGCCACCTATGTTCGGGTCAGGTCGAGGTCAACAATTGTCGTGGCGGAAGTCGACTAACAAAGAGCTTTTCGAAAATAAGTGATCAGGGTGGTATTTTTAGCGGCATCGCTATTCAACTGTCCGCAACAGGGACCTGTCCCATTACGCCAAGAGCCAGGCTTTCTTGCTTTATGTCAAAGCGAGCTGTGAGCAGACGTTAAAGTAACAGTCAGTGATCATTTGATGAAATGTTAGCCGCAGTTCTGCAATGGGTTTCCGATTAACTAACATTGTGTGTGTGTGCAGTTGCAATGTTGGATATCGTGCAGCACGATCTTATAGTATTTCGGACTGACCAGGGGGTTCGCTTTTGAAAGCAAATTATTTCAACCTCCTCTAACATTAACCTACGTGAAAAATGACTACTGACATAGCATGTACTTTTCAAAATTCTTTTTATGACCATTATTAATTTACATATATATTGGACGACAGTATGCTTGCTTTCACTCATTTGGTAGAAAATCACGTTATTATGTAATTGATATTCGAATAAGGAGTATCTTTTTGGGCTTCAAAGTTTCTGATCATGAATTTATAAACATTCGTCATATCCACTCATTCAGCAGCGCACGTGTATTAATACTCCTCATTTTGTGTAAAACGTAGTCCTTATTCATTTTGAAATGTATGCTGTCGTCATAAAAACATTAAAAAGGCCACCAAAGACTAATATAAAATCTGCATTCTGTTTACGTAGTGGTTTTTTAACGAGTGTAATCCCCACAAGTGGTCAAAAGGAAGTTTATGGAAAAGCCAATTCCCTGGCGAGTTCGAAATACTATAACAATATGCGGAGTGATAACCAACTTTACAGTCCAACCTAAGTCACGCTTCCAAATCGATGACGTATTTCAGAATTTCCGCAAAAATTTCATGTATGTCCGTTTGCTGGAAAATTGGTGACGATCGAACTAGCTACTAGCTGCAGGATGTATCCCAGCCGGGAGATTGAATTACACATGCACACTTATTCGAATGACAAGAGAGATTCGGTTATTGCCGCCAGGCTTAGTAATCTGCCGAACAAACTTCTACGGTCTGGTGCAGCATGCGAATGGTTTTGAGCATGCACTAAAGTTCAAACCAGAGTTTGCATCCTCTCAGTCTTATAAAATTATAAAGTACGTTGAACATATGCTGGTTAATGATTTAAATTTTGACTTTATCGTCCTCAGCAGGGTTTATTCTGATATTCTAAATTTTTTTATGGCCGGGAAACATGTCCAAAATATCATCTACAAGTCTCCATTTGTGTGTTCCCAAGCTATGACATAAATTAACTCCGCGTTCGACAATGGTCTCGAGCACCGAAGTCAACTTCAATAGGTGTTCGCCGCTTTGAGTTTATTTCTAATAGTTTTGCCAATCAAAGGTCCTCGGTTAATTTCTATAAAACCGAAAAACTTTGTTCCACGTTTTAATTACCGATACTTATTTTTGGGCTATGTCCTTTAAATTTACATTCATTGGCGTCGCGGAGTGCACTCACGATCTATGCATCTACTTAGCCCGTTTTAATTTTCCCTGAGTACTCGCTAATTTGTTTAAATTCAGCTCCTCTTCTGTCGCCTCCAATGTGCTATAATTAAACTCAGGTAAGTCGTGCCCACATAAAAAATCAACTCAAAACTGCCTCCTCTGCGATGAACTTTGTTTACCTTTGAAAAATGCGGGTTAGCGTCGCCGATCCTATATATCTATAGATATGGGTGACCGCGAATTTTATTCGCTTGTGATGCTGACGGTAGAGTCTACTAGGTGCAAGGTGATTTACTTTCTAGTTGGGAAAACTGCTGGCAATTATATCAGGCAGTTGGGCTGGACACTGACTTTACGTTCCTAGAACCCACTGTTTCACCGCATACCAGCCGTTAGAAGGAAAATGCCTTATTTAAAAGCCAGAAGGCGGTAGCAAGTTTTAAAATTGAGGAAATCAATTAATGACAAACTGTTTGAATTATATTAATCAAAATTATTGTTAAGCGTCGAGGAATGTAGTCCGGTGTGCGCATATCCATACTTATATTGCAGCGTTCTGTCTAAAAATGAAAGTCATCTATCAATTCCATTAAGCGTATTCTGTCGGTTCCTGATATTGTAACATATAGTGACAGGACGGGCACGTGGAAACATTCAAGCGTGGATGCTGATAAAAATGAAAGAATGAAGCAGAATTTCAGGTTTTGATGAGCTACCTCCAGTCGTTATTCTCTCCAAACAACAATTGACCTGGAGCTTCTTTAAGACCTATCGCCGTAAAAAATATAAGGGACCGGGGAAAGCATTTTCGGTTGCGTCTCTTTATTTTCAGTCAGTCATCGGGCACACCTTGCTGATAATAGAGAGCGGATAAGAAAACTTTACTACATAATTCTCTGTCACTACAACTTAAGTTTCTCAACTGTGAATTCATCGCCGTTGTACGGTTACCGTTTATCCTCATATATTATTGATAACACTCAAATGACACTTGCCTACTTAGTAATTCCGCGAAGACAATAGCGCGATGTTGCTGCATTTTACACTCGGTGGTTAAAGCAGTGCCTGAGGCCATCCAAATTGCATTCCTGCGGTATCCGGCTTATCTCACGAAAGAAATAATTCTGTGAGGCTGCAAAGTTTACCATCGTATCATAGAATGCCAAGGTATTTCTCTCACATTGCGACGCCGGCTTTTGGGAAGTTGTTCACAGACGTCCGGTAAAAGGGACTACTTAAGTCGTATGACTTTTTTCGGTACATTGGGTATGCCCGTAAAATTGAAATACAGTTTGTGAGATGGATGTACAAAAATACCATTTATTGTTCTTGAATGACATCAAATTATTCCTTCTTTAAACCTTTCACTTACAAAATATCTATAGTGGTACGACTCCTTAGACGATTAAATATCCTTTCATACACCATCGCATCCTTTGGTTTATTAATGAAACTTATGAAGTAAACAGCATGGTCCACATTCATTGTAAGTTGTAACAAGCGCTCTATGACGTTATCTTAGTAGTTTAGGGAAATCCTTGGTTATTCTTGCACAATAATGCTATATCATGTGCTATTATAATTTTATATTAGGTAAGTGACCATTTTTGAGTATTATGGTCTATACAGGCAATCAGGAAGGACCTCACGCAAAAAATGACAGCCTGATTTGACAGAAAGTGTCGAAACAATGTTCCATACCAATAAATATTACAACCTCAACCCAGCTGTCTTTCCTAATCGAACTCTTATTAAAAATCTCCCATAACATTTCATCAGATGGACCAGCGATTGCCCGACTGACATATGTATGCAGCTACATAATATACGCACATAGCGTCTAAGAGATGAATATCCTTATCATTACTGATAGAAGCTGACGGGCGAATTCCAGGAAGCAATTTTGAAAAGAAGTTGCGATCGTTGGAACAAGTTTACTGTCCTGTTTTTTTTAAATTCTTACTTAAATCGATCATCAGCGATAGTCGCAGAAAACGGCAATAGGGTGAACATTTATTGCCCTATTTGCTCGGCAACCACGTACTCTAAATAATAAGCAGTACTCGAGATTATTGCCATGGAGCTTATTTGTTGCGATGATTCCTCGTCGGTTCATATACGGGTCGTTAATCTCCGGACTTGCATCACCGTTGTCGATCCTTGGCGTGAGGGTTACTCGACAATTTAACTCGCTGTCACGTAGACTACCGGGTGTCCACACCCTCCTCACGTGGGTAGTAATTGTACACAGGTAAAATCTTGACTGAGGAAAAGGAGGTTGAAGGTCATTGCGCTTGTGCGGGCCGAAGAACCGCGAACGAAGCAGCTGGCAGACCACGCGAGTGTCACCTTTCGCGAGGATTTCGACAACGAAGGGCAATCAATAGATCACATACGACCCGCCTGCCTGCAATGAACGCGCGTGCTGCTAATTATTGTTGGCATGTGGTTATCGGAGCACTGCAATTTGTGCCTCTACTGCTTATTCTTGTTGTCCTCTCTGATGATGGATTCGAGTGAGGATCAGAAAATTCAAATCGATAAACTTTATGCTTCGGCAATCGCCTCTTCTAAACAATTGCCCTTTTTGCATTCGGGCCACAAACAAACGGTTAAGCCGAAAATAAAGCGCTCGATATTTTGCCACGTATGCTAACTGATGCACCTGCTCAAAAAACAGAACTTATTGAAGCAAAGGAAATTTTACTCAGCCAAATGCCACAAAGCATGCATGAATTTCAAGACCTCCTATTCAGCTGAACACGTTCATTGCATAGTTGCAGGACAATGTAACTATGACAAAACGACAATCATACGTCGACCCAGAGAGATAAACACGAAACATGGGCCTAGTATGCAGGTGCGCGTGGCGAGTGTATGCGGACAGAGAGAGAAGTTATCTAAGCATACGAGTTAGGATTACAGTGAGAACTTAGCGGACGTGTTTCATGTTACCTACCACGTTGCATCTCTCTAAGTCAATCTCTGACTGAATAGTTTACCTTGTCATATAACTATGCTGTGACCGTGTGCAGTTGAATAAGAGGTCTCGAAATGTATAACGTCTATAAATTCTGCATGCTTTGTCGCCTTTGCCATATTAAAAACTCTTCCGGGAAAACATTGTTTCAAAGGAAATTAAACATTTATAAAAAATCATCGAATGCTTGTCGACTCTGGACAGCCACAAGCCAAATTTGCCTATTTTGTAAACGCCTTCATAATGTGTCAGAGATTTACCGACACAGAAATAATATGGGAAAATTCGCACAATTAGACAATTTACTCTATTTGGGTTGGATAAATGGCATTATCAGTTCGTCGCCACGAGTTAAATTGCGAGTGCAGAAAACTGTTCATTTATTGCTTTCGAAGATGTAAGGAAACTCCTAAAGCAAATATAAAATTAAAAATAATGCCTTTTGTAGGAATCCGCAAGTAACAAGAACATGAAACTAACACCTGCAGCTGCCCTGGTCAGAGGGTGAAACGCCTCTTTACCGTGCTTACAATGATAGGCCTTCCAAGTTGTTACCTCCTCGCAGATAATGACGGGTGGCATGGCACTGGTAAACTTCTGGTCAATGGAGTAGACCCCAATGGTGGATCAGCTGCTGCAAATGTGCGAGCGCAAGTTTATGTTTCGGATGCTAGCTGATGGCAGGCTTATCATTGGCTGAATGAAGTCCAACAATCCCTAAACAGTGCTCGATCGATTTACATCCCCGACTCCCTTTCCGCCGTGTTAACCTTAGTTTTCTGACTTCGGCCTGGTAGGTGGTTGCCATTTCGGGACCCCTATCATTCCCATACAAAGCTTCTGTGCTTTGGGAAGCCATTAAATCAGTGTGCACCTATTACTGAATGAATAGGATGCCTTTTTCCGATGGTTACAATTGTTGGCCTTCCAAGTTGTTTTCCTTAGCAGTAAGTTTCCTTTCACCTGCATTTGCTTCCCGTACAGAAGTAAACAGCTAATCATGCCGACAAAGCCTTAATTACATTTGGCTTGTGGGCCGACGGTCAACCTTTTCAAGCAAACGCAGTTGTCAAAAGTGTTGACCATAAGGATGCGACCTTTTAGGGACCTAAGACGTGTTTGCGCGAACGGTTCTGGCGCAATACAACATGGTTAGATCGAAAAAATGCGCGTTAGGCGTCTGCACATATATGTACGTTGGCCGCTCAAGAATCGTACTCCGTTCATCCAATTTAATCCAACTTGTAATAAAATATATATGTCTAATTAAATTCAATACTTCTGGGACAAGAGAAGACGTCTGCCTGTGCATCAAAACTGTCACTCTTTCAACCTATTCCGTAAATTAATCGCGTAAATTGGCATTAAAAATTCATATAAAAATGGGCATTAAAAATGCATTAAAATGAAACCCTAACTGACACGAATCTCCCGGATTCTGTCGCAAAATGTTCTTGCTATAAAAATGAAAAACTGACAATATCATAAAAAAATCCCTTTAGTATATGTGCGCTCTACTTTTTGTGACTGTAAATGCGTCAACCAATAAAAATGCAAATTCGACTAGCGAAGCCGTTTGCACGGCTTTATTATCGGCACTCAAGTATGATTTATGTCCTTTTTTCTAAGAATAGCAGTCGTCTCAGGTTTACGTATGGGCATCCAGTTTAAATGCCTTTTACTTTTTTGAAAATGTTTGCTCGTTGGCACGTCAAAATCCAAGCTAGTACTTTCTTTTTTCTCCTCAAACCGAGTGTTTTCCTTAACAAGCTGACGTGCCATTGAAAAAGTAAGAAGCGTCGGTTAGAAACGATAGGCTATGGGGTCCCCTACTAATTAAGGTTAACCTGTGGACTGAGCATGCGTTGAATACTGGAACGTGCGATTTTACGGCTAGGGTAAAACTCAAGACGAAGAGCTAGAAAACGCGAAAAATAAATGAATGTCTATCGAAGGTCTTCCTGCATGCTCTCATATAACAAATAGAGTAAGCGCGATAATCAAGAAATTAACGAAAGGCAATTTTAAGGCTAGTGCCGCTGCCTTTGCATTTACTCAGACAGGTTATGAAATTGCAATCAATGGGAACGGCAAATGAAATATTTTGTTTGCAATCGTAAGATATTTTATCGTATATTTTGGAAATGCCAGCTACGCGGCGCCGTATACTCTATCGTTATCAATCGGTTGTAATGTCAGACTCTGAGGGATTATCTCAGGTATGGAGCACAGAGTTTAATTAACTTATGGGAACATGACATGAGTCACAACAGTAACAGTTATCATGCGCACAACGGATTCTACGAAAATTTTGAGAGTAGACCAATGGGCTTACATTTGTCATGCAGAAGGGACTCGAATGATTTGCGCCACATGTGAACCTGCTCGTAGCTTGGCTTTCCCGAGGATATCATTCGTAACAGCTCGTCCTGCTGTAGAGACTTCGCTTGTTTGTAGCTCTTCTTGAAGAACGGAAGTGCCCTGTTTTACAGTAAAGGTAAAATATAGTAATTTGCAGGTTTGGGGGTAGAACAGTTCCGATGGTCGCAGATGGGGCAATTTTAAGACATATGTTACAAAACTGTCCCAAAAGGCAAGGAGTGGTTACCTGAAATAGCTGCTATCTGTTTCTTGAAGATGAAAGACAGTTATATGAAATATTAGGGTATCTAAAACAGGCTAAACGGGAAGTTTTCCGGACCAACACGGGGGCCATGACGCACGTTAACTCTGCTGCGTAGATTCCGCACATTTCCTGGCGAACGTCAAATACGGGCGTTGTGGCAGCACTCCTAGTTGCAGACTCGAATCACGTAAGCCACCTGTACCCATTGTCAGCATCAGATGACGGACCGACTCGGACAGCAGTCTTGTATATAAGATAGGGTACCGGCAGACTGCCCCAAGCATGCAGCACATGTTCCTCACTACAGCAATTCTTACCCCCTAAAAGTTCTAGCTTAAAAGGCTATCAACATTGTGGATAAATTGATCCTCTCAGGACAGACGGTCAAGCTGCAAAGGCGCCTTCTAAATGTGACATCCTTCAAATCCCCACCCAGATCAGGTCACAGCCAGACCCGATTTTCTGCGAAATTCTACCTCATCGTGCCCAAGTCAGTTCGTGCCCGCTAAGGGTAGATCGATCGCCTAACGTTGTCACTGCGTCCTCTCCGTCCTCCGTTGACCCTACTCTATCCGGTTAAGGGTCCACGTGTCTGAGAGAAGAGACCGCGTCCTATCACTAAAAACTAACCTAATACTAATTAGTTTCCTGCGCCTACCATGTTATTGGACACAGGGCGGGCATCGGCGTTCTCGTTGGTCGAACAGGCATGATATATTTAATAAAAATATATGTAACAAGTCTGAGCGTCTTAACTTGCGATAACCGTTTGCTAGGCAGGAAAGTGTTCAAAAGCGGTCTTTATTTCGCAAAATTGCACATATTTATTTCTGTGAGACTGCAAAGTTGAGCAATATCCACTCAACTTACTAACGCTGTAGGCAACATCAACTATAGGCGTTCAGTTATTTTAAAAATAAAATCAACTAACTGAAGTTATTAATCCATTATTTGTACAGTAGATGAGCTAACTCATGAAATGTCAAACAAAATTTCAAAATGCATTTTCGTTTCAAAAAGATTTAATAAGTAGGGTTGTAAAAGTAATTATCATACAACATAAGTTTATAATTATCCAGCTACCACTGGGTGTCGGCTTTTGAATGAACGTAATTTGGACCGCAAACAATAAATATACACTGCAAAAATGACCGCTTATTTAGCATGCAATTTTCTTATTGATTTTCGATGTACTTGAAAATGTAATTATACTTACCAGAAAACATGCATGAAAATATTATCGTCTTTACTTATTAGGTAGAAAATCACGTCCTCTTCCGATTTTATACTTAAACGTAAAGTATAAGTCGGTTTTTAAAAAAAACGTCTCTAATTCCCGAAAACTTTTGAATTCGCCCTGCTGTTAGATTTGCATTCAGGGTCTGAAAACTGCAGGCCGTATATTTTCCGTGCACGGAAAACCCTGCATCTCACTACGATATTAGGAAAAGACCATATGGGGTTCATAAAATTAAGCTGTGGATTTGTGTAATATTGTTAACTTTACAAGCCCCATTCGTCAATGCAGATACATGATGTTTTACGAAGGACCATTTTACGATATTAAAAATCTTGAAATTAGAATCTTTTTTGAGGCCAAATTATACCCTTTTTCTCGATTACATGCATGTGGTCGGAAATAAGTTCATTCGGAAGCGAACACTCTGAAGTAACTGGATCAATATAGAATTATGTTAAGTGATGATTAGTTTTACAACCACTCATAATTAATCTTTTCGTAGCGGAAATGCATTTCGAAATTTCGGTCGATATTTCATGAGTAAGCCCACCTACTGTGTCTCCACCAGTTATCAAATAAAAAATAATCACATTTTCAACAGGGGTCATACAGGTGCGAAATTTCGCCTTTAGTTCCCTGTTCAGTTGAAGGAGAAGATAAGTACACGTACAGTGCCCTCCCCCCCTGTTGTCGTGACTTTGACGTTCCCTTACGAAGAGTGAAATTGAGGGGGGAAAGAGGAATGCGTGGCACTCTCAAAAATACTTTGTCTTCTGCATAACTATTTGACAGTTCGACAGTCGCAAGCGACGACTTCATTCGCACGCCCTACGGGGTGGACGCAGCGGTGCTGTTTCGCCCGTGAATTCGTATGTAGGCCAGCTGGTTCAGTATTTGTCGCATTTGTTTCCCCATCGCGCACCTTTCACCAGTGATACGACCGGCGGAGGCGAACCGTGAGCGGAGTGGTCGGCAGAGCTAAACAGGACGTCTGAGCGTGCTACACGCACAACTTTATCCCCTGTCAATGACTTCCTGGCTGCTGCATGGGTGGATCGGACCCCTCATGAACGAGAGAGAGAGTCATTGATGTTAAGTTAAGGAATTGTTATTAATCGATTTTTGCTCCCGACAAAGCCTTATTTATTCCAGTATTTTTAAGCGTAGTCAGTGATTCAAGCGTGAAGATGAATTATCGACTGTTTCCGCTTCTCTTCCGCCTTTCGTACACAATAATTAGGAGGAGACTGGAACATGCTTCATTTACCCCTGTGATGCGAGTCATCACAACTTAGCTCTAATAATCACTTCTTTTCCTTTATGATTTCGTCTTATAATATTACATATTCACTGAAATTATTTTGTTCTCAAATGCTAACTTTAACCTCGCAGTTACTTTTAACAAGTCCGGATAGTTTTCAAGAAACCGTTTAGTTTGCAGGGTGTCCTACGCCTCGTAATTCTGTGTCGATCTTAGTAGTGATTACATTCTTTGTTGAACAAACGTCGAATACAACTGCTCATTGGCGAAATGTTGTTCTGTTTTAGAAATATTTTCACTTCCGCTTCTCTATATGTGCCCGAACGTCGATGCTACTGCTAATTTCTCCACACCTGGACCACTGCTGCTGCATTAAAGCATGTCCTTGTTTCTGGTCGAAGGGAAAATTTTCTGAACCATATTAATTAATGTTTGTGCCTTGCGATATACTGCCGCTTGATTTAAAAAATGGTCGACAAGAGAAGTTAAGACGGGGAATTTTAAACGCTTTCGTTAAAACGATGGCATCGGCCGAAATGGCGCTTCAAATCACACACAATAAAATCAAATCTATGAAAGACACAACATGTAGGAGACGGACTGTTGACGAACTGCTATTTTAGGACTTCCAACGGAAATAATCACAAGTAAAATTCCAAATGAGAAACTATAGCCCTCAACGTTCTACCTCGTAGGTTAGGAAACAACTTAAATACAAATTGTTGAATGGTAGTAATCAAAACATCAATGTGAGTTGTTAGTTACCACTGTCACAAGGATCTCCACTTTCGTTTTGGCCGAGGTGATCGGGAGAAGAAAAAAAACGGGTTTTGTCAGAATGAGACGCGCCTTGTGCATCTACTACTGAATTAATCTCTGTCTGCCGTTTACAGGACATCGCAGCACCATACGGATTACAGCGATGTCCTGCAGTGTGCAACGACAAGTCACGTGGAATCATGCTAACTGCTTTATTGTAATTGGTCAAGAATTACGTCCTATGCATATTTTTCAATAACGATTTACATTGCTTCAAAATACAACAGTCTAGGAAATTTAAAAAAAGATTTTTAAAGTTGGTGCATAAAAATTGCGAAGTACGCTGTTTTTGGTAACTATAAAAACAGAATGTATTTGCACTCTGTCTAAATTCATAGATGCCTTCGACTCTAATTGCTATTAAACTGTTTTCTATGTTATTCTCAAAATCAACAGCGAGAAGAAAGGTCACTGAATTGTGATAGTTTATCCACAAAAATACTCCTTATTCAAAATAAAGACGTTACGGCCGTGCGCGGTTCCGCGATTATCCTGATGCGCTAAGTGCACTTTTGGTTTTAAAATGGAAGTGCAGATTGTATTTCAATTCAACGGAACGATAAATTTCTGAATATTTGACGTATTTTTAAAGCGATATCCACAAAAACATGACAGGCATTGAAACAGAGTCGCATTTTTCCGCGTTTTCTGTTAATGCGGTTTTTTGTGCTTTTTAAGCGAAAATGTTCCTTTGTATCCGAGAGCATCTGATCGCGTTTTCTTTACTTGTTTTTTCCATGATGCCGCTGACGCCATGTCTTCAATGTGACCCAAAATAGGGACTTGCATATTAGATTGCGCATATGTCTGCAGACTTTTCAAAAAAATGCCTCATCTAGAAATCTTATTACTGTGAAAGCAGCCGCGTTTTTCTCTCTCTCGCTATCATGCACAACTGGCTGGACTGTTTCTTGCCGAAAACAGGCATGCACGGATGCATTTTTAATAAGGCTGCGCTCCGCGTCTCCCTTCATGCTGATTCAAAAATGTCGCCTCTGGAAACACTGTAAAAGAATCCAAATCGATATGCCCTCTGTTTTTACTGTGCTGTAAAAATTTTAAATTGACAAAGCGCGACGTCTATGCGATGAAAGCAAACTAACTACGATTAAACATCAGTAGGGAAATTAAGAAGTGAAGAGATACTGAAATGAGACTTTCTGGCACATTCCTTGTTAAATCTCAGCCAAACCCAGTTCAGATTTTCGTCCAAAATTTGAACACGACATGCGGTTTTAAGGGAATTTTCACAAACTGTATTTCGGCAAACGGAAACCTTATGGAAGCTTAGTAAGTTTATGTCATGATTATAAACTAGCTTTTAGGACTGCGATTAATAAATTGCTGCATTAAAATATACAATTTCAGCATTGTTCATGCCTCCCAACTGCATAATATGCATATGAACACACTCTAATTGATAGCTACACGCCAACGCGACCACGGGCTTATTAAGCCGGCCCTTAAAAGTGCATCTCATCAAATTAAGGGCGGAGCCCGTTAAAAAAGACGGTCGCCAACCACTGTTAATCTATGCAAATCTGACCGAAATTGCATACACCCACTCATTGATTTGTCCCTCTATTGCGTGCGCTGCTGCGTCAAGGTCAGGCCATATGACTGCGTTTTTGGTTACTGTCACGTGCGGTGACCACAGGTGGGGGGAATTGCAAAATACCGTCCACATTGTTGCAAATTGGTCATTACCCCTGACTGTTCAGGGTTGACGTCCCTGCGCCGACTAAGTGGATTTACTTTTTTTGCGGACACGTACTGGCATTTTTTTCACATAAAAATGAGGCAGGTACTATTAGACTGGGATAGAAGGGAGAGGGCTTTTTATGTAAATGTGCTATGGACGAAACGACTGGAATGATTCCCATTGATGCAAAAAGCCTAACAGCAAGTCACGTGCGTACATGTTTCCTAGTACTCGAGTGAAATCAGACTGCCATAGAAATGGCTGAGTACAGATCCCTGCGTGGGAATCTGGTCATTTCTTCGGAGGATGTGAATGAAAATCTTAACTGGACTACTTCTTTCCAGAATGCCACTGTTAATGAAAAGTATTTTTATTGAACAAAACACCTTGCAAAAGAATACCGCATCTGGTAAAAACGAGGTTCTTATCGGAAATAATAACTTATCTTATGTATACTGACCACCTAATATAGTTCAGTAATGTTATCCCGCATAATATTAGGCGAAAGTCTATACCAGCTTACGGGGCAACGGTATAGAGAAGGACCCCCTTCCACCTGTCAGTAGACTGTGGATCGTGCATGCATGTGGATAGCATGCATTTACAGGCTGTTGCAGAAACTATACTGTCGACGGCGACTGCTTCTCATGACCTCGCACCTTAACTCGAAATCCTTTATTTTGTGAAATTTACTTTTTTGTGCTTTTATTACTACTCTAATTTCCGTTGACGCACAATAGCATAGGGTCACAGACCCCGGCAAGTTCTGTGTTTTCTTTCATTCTGTCAGCTTACTATCTAGCTTGGTGTCCCGCCCGTAAAACTCCCTTTACCATAAATCTCGTATGGCAGGATCGACAGTTTATTGACAGCTAACTGGTGTTATTTTCCGCACCTTTGCCGTTTAATGTGTTAAGTTTATATGGGGTAGATTATCTAAATTATGAAAGCTGTCGGAATTGCAATTCACTCGCAGACACACACCAATGCGTCGACCGAAATATCTATCTTAATTAATAACAGCTCTTAAAAATTCAAAATAAGATAACTAGTAGGGGTAATACTAGGTAGAAAGAAAAACCGAGTTCATTATATAAGATAAAAAATCTCGGAAAATTCGAAATTGGGTGTAATTTAATAAACCCCCATTTTACTCGTACGACAAGTCTGAACATGCAAAAAACTTGGGAAATATTACAGCGCCAAAATAATAACGTCAAAAATAGTCTATTATCGTACTGTGTATTAGAATTCAGGTAAGATCATATGGTGATGGATTTAAACAGGAAACGTCATCGTCGGATCAAATGAACGTCAACAATTAAAACCAACATGCATATGTTTTCGATCGGTTAGAAAAATTCTTCTAATGAGTAAACTTTTAATGGAGAACTTTAATACTGTATTTCGACTTTCTTTACCGGTTCTTTCTCTTTGCTGAACAAAATGCTAATATTTTTTCTGGTGAAACATGCTTTTTCATTATATAGTATATATTTATGCCGTCTTCGTCCTATGTTAGGCTGCGTTCTCCGACTATTAATGCACTGCAAGTTGTCCATAGAAATACGGATATTTTGCTTAAAGTGTTAATGCATTTTGCGTCACATTTCTACATTTCGTATGTTAAGATGCCAAACCGCACGAAAATTGATATCCTATGTGGTCGGAATAGATATACCGTGAAAATTAGATCCGCTAGTCTGACTCCTAAAAATCAGTCAAACACCCGATTCTTTTAAAGCAGACTGTGCGTTTGCGAAATGGTTGCCACGCTTGGCATCAGACAATAAAATAATTCTTAAATAAAGCAAACTGTGTCTAGTTAAACTCTTGAGAGCCAATTAGTCTTGCGTGAAAAGACGCACTCACGCGCAAAAAGGAAGTCCGGGACAGGTACTGGCAAAGGAAACTGCCCAAATATACCACAGTGTCCGTTTTCGCTCAAATGTACGTACACTCTGCCTGGTGAATTAACGTGGACATATTTTCCGCATACGGAAAGGATATTTCTTTAGAGAGACTGGACAAGCAAGCAAAGTTCTTAAATTTTCAAATCAGTTTTTATCACAAAGTTTCTTGAGATAGGTCACACGCTGTTAAATCTAATCAATGTATGTACAACAAAAACATGTTTCCAGTAGCATAATTTTAAATGACTTCAATTTTAAATGACTACTAATTCACTGCGATGGCGTACCTCAAAACCTAATAGTCTGTTTTCGGCACATACTATAATGATGTCTGTATGCAGGTTTTAAAGTATAATGTTGTCATAAAACTATCAGTGTGTCGTCGGATCTCCTGGACAAAACAAACTGTTTAGCCTTAAAAAATCAAGCGCTGATGTAACATGAAATATGGCTTGTCGTTAGTGCTTTTCAACCACCACACATTAGCTACCTCAGGTGATTAGCATCAGAGTTCTTACAGCGCCGCCCTAGTCGATAAAGAACGCATTAAGAGATGAGCGCTTACATCTAAACCAAACCGTTACTATGGGGGAAAAGAAGTGATAACAAAGAAAGACGCGCAATTCCTCCGTATACGTACTTACATTAAAATAATTGCATCTCCGCACCTCCCCTTTCGGTCATCTTGGCTTTATCTTACGATCGGTATGAAGTCCGGTAGACGCAGCGTAATGCTGCACCACTACAAATTAATTCCTGTTACATTCCCACTCCACAATGCACGCCATGGACAGAGCCGATTGCGCGAGTATGAATGTCAGTTGTGCGAAATATAGTTTAAAAACACTCAAACAAACTAAGACAATAAATGCTAATTAGGGAGCGCCTGAGCTTCTTTGTTTATCTCTACGGAAAATAAATTGCTGAAACACGGCGGAAGCTTGTCCGTTTGTTTTGCAAGACCTTTACTTCGGATTTAATTCACTCTGCCTCCTGGTGAGACGTTTCCGGAAATTTATGAGATTCGCATTAAAGTGCGCATTTATTGAATGCAAAAAAACTCTTTCTTTATCGGGAAAACTAGTTTTTTTTATTGGTCGAATTTCAGTTCCTTCTCACAAATCAGAGCTGAGAATTCTGCTGAGGCAGGGAAGGATGCGGGGAAGCCAGGACGTTTGTAGCTTGAGTGAGCAAATTTAATCTGACGGAAAGGAAGTGGAAATGGAAACTTTTTAACTGATTGTGGAGGGCATATCGCCTCTACACACCCCTTCCAGGAGAAATTCCAAGACAGTTGAAGGTTGACGATGGGGGTGGGGCAGAATTGGCGACAAAGACCTAGGCAGAAATTGAATTATAACAAGGAGGACCTATCTAGAATTCTCTCCCTCCACACACTCTAGTCTTGACAGGCTTTTTCCGGAAATATCCATTTGGTCTCCGTGTCCTTATGGGAGTACATCAATATAAATGAGAAAATTTGCATTTCGTGCCAGTGACAGGGTTACGCAAGCAAACTAGTAAACATATCTGAAGTCTATTTTATACAAGTATGGGTAAATTCTGATGGCTGGCAAACCAGAAATTCGGATTTATATTCTGTTCTTAAAAAACAACGTCACCATAGTGTTGATTTGGGTTTTGTGCCTTGCGCTTGAGTTTAATTTGGCACTGATTAACAATATCTCAAAGTGTTCACTTTTTAAATTCTAGTTTTCATTGAATGAGGGAGAGAAAATCGAATGAAAAATTAAACAGGCAATAGGTTTGGGATATGACAATTCCATCTATGCTAGCTTAAAAATTTAGGGATGTTTTTAAATTAAATCCTCTGCCAGATGAGTGAAAAAGCGAACCTAAATGTCAAAATTTGGACTGACTTAAAAATGTCCCTCTCGATGAAAAGTCTAAACAGTCAGCGTCGAATCCGTGGATTATGAGCTGATTTACGTGATTCATATGCATTGCTTTGAATTTGCTCTGAATTCGAAAACCGATTGCTTCAGGTTGTCCTTATTTACTCGAAAATATTGAATTCGGGCGGAAGGCGATACTGATCTTACTACGCATACTAGCAGTCGCAGTAATCCATAACGAAATAGCAAACTCGTTATTTAAATTATTGAGAACAAATGTGTTTTACCGGTAACTCTACGTCCATTTAATTCTTAAAGTCGACTCGTCTTAAAGACGTAGAGTATTTGAGTTCAGAGGTATACCGCTTGGCATGAACTTGCTTTGTCAAAATTAGGAGACGTTTGGCTTTATTAAAACCATGTCAGAATCCTCGAATCACAAAACAACTGCATCTTTTAATTGTCGTATATCAAGACATTTCTTGTTGCTGAATAAAACTGCACAAATTTTTCTGAGCCCAGAAGGTCAGAACATTTTGAGCAGTACTGCCGTTTATTTCCGCATGACTAATCCGGATTTTTAAGAGAAAATCGTTAGCCATTAACGAGAACAAACCTTCATCGGGGAGCATTGTTTAAGGTTTTTTTCTTAGTCCCTTAGGCTGGACGACCGTCTGCACACGAAAGCTTTTTAATGAACTCCATATCTAAATAAACGCCCTCAGAAAGCCCGTTATGGAGCCCATCGTTATGGGTGAGGAATTGAAAATACCGATAATCGCGAAATAGTCAAAACTTTATAAGGAATGATGTAAAACTATTTGTTTTCCAGAACACGAAACATCTCTTAAAAAATTTCACTGACGGGGCGTTATTTTAATACATGAAAAATGGCATGTGTACGATGGCACTGAAAATTTTATTTTTCTACTCAGTGACCAGTCTATCATTATGCGATTTTGACAAAACTGTTATTCTTGTAAAATCTTCATCGGCAAATTAAGCGAAAGTCAGATCTTCCTAGTCGATTGCATCTCCGTTAATTGAAGAATGGGGAGAAATTGACTAACTCTTATGAAATCATATTGAAATCCATTAACAAACCGCAAGTTCTTTGCTGACTGTCATTGTTGTCATTACACATACTGCTAAGGCGTATTATGGTCCAATTTTAAAATGTTATTCCGCTTATGCCGTTTTATCTACTCAGCCCTTCGAATAGCCGGGATTAAGTCGACGTTGGTTCAACTAAACTGACTTTTGACGGTTGCGGAATTTTTGGGTCTTCGGACGACATTTTTCACATCTAAACTATTTTATATTGCCTTTTGTATTTTGTCATTTTCAGTTTGCCCAAAATCTTTTATTATAATTTATAGGTGGGGTCCGTTCCCTCACGCCTGTTTGCGAGTAAATAGCGACCTACTGTACACTTAGGCATTGTTCATCATGACATTGTAGCTGCATTGCTTAATTACCGTACTATTCTCTCGTTCAGTATTCTTATCCGTCGCTGTTCATGTGTGAATCTCAAAAACCATCATGCGTAATTCATTTTTATTAAATGCAATCAGTCTGGCGCCCTTTATAACACTCAAGTCATAAAAGCTATGGTAGCATCGTTTTGAATCATATGAAAGGTGAAGCATATAGAGTAAGATACAGTTATGTTTAAAAGCCTCTATTTCTGCAGACCTTTTTTTTACCCAAAACACAAAATTGAACGGCGTTTTTGTGCCATTTGGATTAAAGACATTACCTAAAATTTCAGCGTTAAAAATTGGTGTCGCAGAAATGAACACTCATCGAAGTAAAGGCAGGAGTCGAAGTTGCTTCATCTCTTTTCTATGTAGTCCCCATATACAGTCTTCATAACATTGAAAATAAATGAATGCGCTTCTACTGTTGCCGCAAGTCAAAAATGCCAAATCATTGGTTAAAAGTAATTTTTATTCGGATCTGGGTCTTATAGTTGTCAAACATGTAAATAATTAATCGTTAAGCTTCGGTCCTGCAACCCCGATACCAAATGAATAGCATCTTAAGAAAATTTTATTTAACCTACCAATCTTAGCCACCGCTTGATTAAGAAACGAAAGAGAGAGCAAACAGTCCTCAAAGAACGCTCAGGGAAGCGAGTGTGAACTGATGCCTGGTGTAACCGAAGGCGTCATTTAAGCACTCTTTCCGACAAAGCCACTCTCTCTATATTAAGGGGATAAGAAGAGTGAAATTACAACGCGAGGGCAGCGAGGGGAACCGCGTGTCAACTAGCCCTGCGTGGGCTCTACAGTGAAGTTGACGGAGATTCGTTCCGTCTGAACAATGTCATTAGTAAACATACTTAGCTCCTTGCTGGATTAAGATAATAGAAATGACGGAAGCAGAATTCGAAGTACGCGCAGGGTAGCGCATGTGAACTGATACCTGATTTAACCGAGGCTGGCGTATAAACACTCCCTCCCCCTCCCGAGGCGGAGTCACTCACCAGATTGAAATAGTAAGGAAGGTGCAACCACGTGATATATGTAAGTTCAACGTTATCGTCCCTACTTAAATCGTTATAGGAAGCTAGCCATATAGTCTCAAACAAATGGGGCTGCAGGCCTGAACCTAACCAATCAATCTTAACCTTAAGCGTCGATCCAGAGAGGACATAAGGGGCTTTCGTAATTGTGGGTCATTTGGGCGTCCCTGTCACGTCAGTTTAAATGATCAACATATGTCTGAATGGTCGTTATGGCCTTAGATGTAGCAGCGGTAGTCAAAATATTTAGATCAAATGGCTAAGGCTTGATTGTGCCTGCTGTCGTCGTAAACGTAGCTGAAATAAAGGATAAGTGCTGATTGAAAATAAAACATGCCTGACGATTTTAGTTCATCTCTTTATGACATAACCAAATGTTTTTCTCTTTAATTAAATCGGTCAATCACTAATTGCGCATGCGCGTGAGCCTTTATGATCACGAGCGGTAGTATCTGGGCCTGCGGCTTACGGTCTGCGACATATTTCTGATTCATACAGGTGGCGTAAGATGATTGACCAGCTATCGAGTGCGACCAGCCGATGTCTCAGACTAGCCAGAATCTACTCCGCAACCACTCCTAATAACTGCGATCACGATTCTCTAGTTAACCGCTGCAAAACGAATGCACTTACATTCTGCTCTTCCAGCTGGAGCTCCTTCGAAGCTGACTCTCCCCGGGCAGACCCATCGTCTGCAGACTGCCAAAGTGAACGCTGAGAAGTGCAGCGTTCCAGGATTTCTGCAGATCCAGTTGCTCGGCCGAAGTAAGCATACAGTCGGGTTTTGAGTACTTGATGGCGGATCGCTGAAAACAGATTAAAGGAATTTATTTGATGGAATGGAAAATTATGAGGTCAGTGGAGAAAATGCTTGTGAAGCGTCGGTGATTGCAGCACCTCTGTGCCAAGCATTTTTAGTCGGAGGAGTTTGCGTCGGAGGACGTCTCGTTCAAAAGATATAGCGACTACCCAAACAGCTGCCATTTATGATCCGTTTGTAAAAATCATTTTTGCAGAAGTCGTATCCCTTTGTCCACAATGTGCGGATAGAATACCACTCCAGATCTACTTTGAAAGTATGCAAATGCCTTAACTTCAAATCCATGCTTCCATTTTTCGGCGGATTTTCATGTCCGGCCCGAGATTTATCATGTTTATTCGACAGAACATCTATCAAATTTGGCAGAAAATCCACCCAGTACGCACTTTTTGTCGACCGACAGTCAGCCATATTTACATACTGACTGATTTGTCCCAATTGAATCATGGGCACTAACTAAAAATCAAGACATGTATTTCATTAATTTCGTTTCTCTGTGGAACGCAGTAGGTTCACTAGGCCTTCTGGTATAGTGCACATCATAAGATGTCTGCCGCTGGCTATTACGGGCAGTAGAATAATTTTCAAAAAATTAATATTAAAACATACATTAGGTGGGCTATATGGATTCTCAGCTGAAATTCTAAAATGTGTTTCCGTTTTAAAAAGATTCCTTAAGTTGTGTTATACAAATCAGTATCATGCAGCATAAGTCGATAATAACTGAGTTACCGCCGAACACTGGCATTCCAGCAAACGTCTTTCCGGCTGCATTATAAAACCATTCTCCGTAAAAGATGCCTACTTGATTACCATGCATTTTAAAATGATTTTTGATGCCCTTGAAGATTCAACTTTATTTCATAGAAAACATGCAGAAGAATTTTCATTCTTTTGTTGCTTCAGTAGAAAATAACTTTTTCCTCTAGTTTCCTACCCGAAGGAAGGGTACAATTCGGTTTAAAATGTTTGTAATTGTGAGATTTTTTAAATTTTTGGAATGGCCCTTTATAAAACTTCATATCTTTGCATTTACCCATGTGGCTTGTAAAGTAACAATGGGGTTCAAATCCACTACTTAATTTTATGAACCCGATATTGTGTCCTCTTAATACGGTAGTTAAATGTATGGGCTTCCGTACGCGGGAAATATACGCCTTGTTGTTAGTGAACCCTCTGGTCGGGTTCATAATTATTTGGGAATTGAAAAAGTTTATAAAACCAAATTGCACCCTTCGTTCGAGAATAAAATTGAAAGATGACTAATGTTCTACCGAGACGACAAAAAATGAATATACTTTCCTGTTCTCTATGAAATGTAATTGAATCTTTAAGGTCATCGAAAATCAATTTAAAAATGCATGCTAATAAAGAAGTCATTTTTGTGGAGTTCAGTTTTTGGGTGCAGCCAGAAAAGCGTTTGTTCAAAAGCCGACACCCTGGAGTAACCAAATTATTATAGAATCATCGTGCATGATGATTGGATTTACAACCCTACTTTACTTATCTTTTCGAAACGGAAACGCATTTCACAAATTCTGTTGAGATTTCATGAGTAAGCCCACCTAAAGTATTACTGACAATCCGGTCCGCGCATGCCGAGGACTGATAAACTAACATTTGCGCCGCTTGGATTAACTGAAAGGTGGGTTTTGTTTGACTGTCAATTACTTCTGCTTCAAAAATAGACGGGCGATCATCGATTGTGTTACGGAACTCACTCGTCCCGCTTCTCCCCAAGGCTGTTTCTAGAGCCCAACCAGTGGTCGCACAGTGACGCATATTCTTGGCTGACGACGGTTAATGAGCCAGAAATGCCCATTTCAGTCTCCCTTGCCTTTGTCGGTATCCATTCTGCCTTTGGTACGCACCGCTGTGCTGCTAATGGTTGGGCGTGAGATAGAACACCAAGTCACAGTGGAATGAATGTTTGTTACTAATCGTAACCGACAGGACATCAAGCCCATGGCGCAGAGGTTCGGGGCGGCAAAAATCTAAGTAACATGTCGCGGTATAGAGCCTCAGGTGTTCCGGACTTCGGGGTTGTGTATGACTGTCTAACGACGATCAATAAGATAGCAATGGTCATTCCAGTTCCCCTTGTTTCTGTCATCAGTGTCCCGCTATTCCTGAGTTCTGGGTGCAACACGAACCAGGTGATCAGCGCTACACGCTAATAAACATTGCTGCGGGTATATTAAGGTTTCTGTTAATGTGCGTTTAATATGATCTTTCGACCATAAAAGAAATCTGAGATTGTTGAATCGATCAGCAGATGCTTCTCGTTTCTGTGTAGGTTGTATCTTTGCTCGTACTTCATTTTCGCCCGAACAAGCCAGCAAATATGTAGCTGCATCAGCTACCATCTCGGCGAAAAGGCCATTTGACTAATCACATTTAAACCTTAATGGTATTTTCGGAATTTCTAACACTTGCACTAGCTTAAGGATCAGCTGCCCTCCCATGTGTTTTGTTTTGCTTTCCATTTACTTAGGCGTTTTCTTCTTTGTAGATTTGTAGGTCTATTTTACTCATTACACACTGATTTTTCCCTGTCTTTGTTTACCTGGAATACAAAAAAGATCACGCTAGTGCATGTTTGAAGAAAGGCACCTCTGAAGCGAGTTTTGCATAATCAATAACTGACTGCCTTTTATTTTTTTGGGCAGTGGTATTTTTCGTAGTTATGGTTTGTGGTTTTTTGGTGTATTTTATTTTCCCTATCCATTTTATTTACCGTAACTCGGGTGTTTGTTGCTGAGCATTTTGGATAGATGCCTTCAAAATAAAGCGTATCCCGCGCTATGAAGAATAATTAATAATTTTAAAGTAAAACGATTGAACTTGGGAAAACGTACACTCAACATAAATTCACAACGTTTGAACTTGTTAGTAGAAATGATTTTACAAATAACGGACACTTCCGAATTTATATATACGCAAAACCATGCAAGAATGCTAGGCACCATAACATTATTGATAACATCGTTTATTTCATACATGGTTAACTCGAATTAAAGACTAACCTTACGATTAACACCTTGAGAAATGTCTCATAACAACCAAGTGCTTGGACGTTTGCCTATTAAAAAGACACCTTTGTGGTCCTTACGTGAGCAGAATTCCTGCGTATAACTCTTGTCACATATACATATGCTTTAAACATCCCTGGCCGCTTTCATGGTCAACAAATGTAAATTAATTTTGTGGCCTGTATCCATTGTAGCAAAAGTGTTTAGCACCATGGCACTGCGAAAGAAAACCAAGTTTGAGATAATAGACTTAGTTCCACATCATTCTGGTTTTGTAGGAAGGGAGATCTGAGGATAATTTCACAAATCATTCACTGGCCATTTCACATAATTTGTACAGGCTCAGGTTTTAGCAGTTATCGCTTCTGATATTCTGGTGTTACCTCTTGTCAATGTCCATTTTATCCACCCTTGAATGGAGTCTTTGCTGCCGAACAGAATGGAATAAAGCAGATTTTACTCTTTGTTTATGAAAACTGCTTTTCAAGATTACTTGCTGTTTAAAGACTAAAGAACAGAGAAAAAATAAACCATATGTTTATTTAACTCTGCATTTGAATGGGAATTTTCTTATATGTACGCCCGTCGACCCAGTTACTCATTAACCAGAGGTGGTCTTCCGTTTTGCTTATCTAACTTACAGTAATTAGGTCGTCTGCATACCACGCTAGAATGATTTTTAAGAAAGTAAACTCTGACTGGAATTTTGTAAATCCTCCACCGGCTATTCATCACAATTTCGACAGTAGCAGTTTTTGACAGCCATTGTTTGTAATTTGTTCTGCATATCTATTTTATTCATTGTATACTGCACCTTCTGCCGGCAATTCTGGTATGTACTTTTAGAATATAGCGTATATTACCCTCTATGATGGCTGCGTACCAAGAATGAGTGTTGTTTGTAAAACTAATAACAGAATTTTAAAAATGCACTTTATATAGTTTGAAAAAGCGAAGATTTACATCGTCTGCCCGCTGCATAACTAAATAGCTTTAGGGTTCATATAAGTGGCATAATCTAATGCGTGCATCTAGAAGTATGTTCACAGGGTTAGTTTATTCTAGGTAGTGGAGGAGCACATAGCATCTCGCCGAGTGCATTGTGCCCAAAAAGAGCCACAATTTCCCACTTTATCTTGCTTTCGTCAGACCCCTGGAATCATTTGTGTCTTCGACTGGTTTCATTTTAAAGTGCAGGGCGACCTTGCAGTGATTGAGGACACGCAGATTCTGTTGCAATCATGCGGAAGACGATGTGGGCAGAGACAGCAGTGACTGGAGCGGCAATTTCCGCCTTCCGTCACCAGTCAACCACACCCTAGTCACAATCCTGGGTAGATCAGAACATCAATATAAATTTTAGAGTATCAAACAAGGCGGTTGTTCACGGCACGTGTGTGTGTGTGTCAAGAGTTATACACAGGACCGCAGAGGAGTCTCTTTAACAGCCAGCTATCTCAGCATTTTACGAAAATGAAATATTTTCTAAGGCGACTACACAATTGGGAATGGATCGTCTTAGCCGATTGTGCTCCAAAATAACATTAATAGGGAAAATGCATTTGTGACTTTTCATATATTTACCTTCAAGACTAAATTTGGGCCTTCTGTTAAGCAACTGTTAACCTTGTTTAAAATTAAAAACGAAGTCTATGATTTTATGCAGCCCTTCCTCTGCATCATTACGTGGTTTTGTGTACTACGAGTTCAAAATAACCCGTCATCTGTAAAATCATATCTGTTACAATTCGAAGCGTTTGTGAATTAATGTTCAGTGCGAATCGTCTCCAATTCCACCGTTTAGTCTTAATATTGCCGATGAAAATCTCTGGCTGACCCAATTGTATTGTTAAACTTTTTTATGGGATGCTCTCAAAAATGCGAACTATCATGCTTTGTCGAAAATGTTTTCATTGTAGACCGTGGGATATCATTTTAAAGATAAAAACACTTACTGTGTCTTTTTATCGGTGGGACTTACGCATTTGAATCGCTAAACTGGACATGCAAATATGTGTGCCCCTCCTAAACAATATATGTGAACCTACGCGCAATTCTATATGGAGAAACACATTCCTGTGTCCAGACCCCAACCATACCCTTAATGCAAAACCCAACCCTTGCTCAAATACGGCTCTTTAAATCTGCAGTTAAAATAACCTATGGATTAACCTTAAAATTAAGCCTGAACGGCTGTACCGTTAACTTTAATCTCGCCTCAAACTCAATCCCTAACCGATTTTTAACCCTAAACCCAAGCCCGACCCTAATTTCACTGGACGTTGACTCAAATCCGCCCGTCTTCAAGCGATTCCTATTTTCTCGTCCTGCATATGGGATCACGTAATTCAAACATGCAAATCATATCGGCAGACTGGCTCGAGGGTAGGGTTTTCATCAAGAATGATGCAAAGATAAGTTTGCTAGCTTAAATGTGGTTCTCATTTGCAACGTCGCACACAACTTTTGCAGTAGATCTAGTGAAATCTCTGCCTTAAAGACATGCTTGTCTTGCTAAATGTGAATGTTGCGGTATTAACAACCAGCTTGTTTGAGTCCGAGAAAGCTCTTTAAGAGGTCAGTTAATTGAAACTGTCATTTGAATGATCTAACAAGTCGGGGTTGCATCTGTTCAGTTTTCACTCAGGAGTGCATGCTGCATGGAAAGTAATTATATTAATTGATGATACGTGAACATATATCCCACAGTGATTTATGCAGACCAGCACTACTTCGGGCAAAAAAACCAGCAATGGACCAAAAGTATACTAAATTCTCCGATGATGAGCCTTATTGTACAGATTTCACGAAAAGAAAATGACGTTACCGGTTAGTTGGCCACTGATTGATCAGTTGGGAGGACGATTCTACAGAAAGGTGATTTGCGCATGTAATTGGCGTAGATATGAAATGCGATCGTAACTAATTACAACCTCATGAGTGGGTTAGTAGAGTACTGCGCACACATATGCATGAAGGTGGTTGGCACGCAGCAGTGAGATTACGAACACTCCTATCGGAATCATAGGATAAATTAGTATTGTAGTTTTGAAAATCGAGCAGACCAGGGGGCGATTTCATGGGCATGAAAAAATTCATTTAAGCATTAACGGAGCGATATAAATACATAATGAATGCTAGATTGATTTTTTTCTTTTTGCGTCGGTGAGACGTTTGCCGACCTGGTTACCGTAAGGAAAATAGCTATTACTGAACGCCTCACAATCATTACCAAGCTTCTTTTAGACAGTCGTTTCCAGTCGATGAGACTTCTGTTAAGTGCGCCCATCCGTTGTTTTAATCAGGAAAAACGTACGTTTGAGAACAAAATTATAACAGTATTCAATAAAATTACGTCGGTTAGTCGGAGAGGTAATGCCTAATGAATTCATACAGCTTTTTAAACTTATAGCATAAGCAAACGGCGCTCAAAAAGAAATAAACTGCACGGGCGTTAATCTCTGCGCCCATCTGCAGCTGCATTATAGACGTCTTCTTACTGCGATACCAAAGCGCTTTTTAATTAGGAAAGTTGGTTCAATTACGTTATCAACCTTCAAAAATTATATGTTTTGTTAATTTTTTAGTGAAATATTGCCAGCAAGCACAGGGCAAACTGGGACGTCTGCTTATTATGAGTCGTGTGGCTTAAAAATGTTTGTTAGTAAACTACGTGGGATCTAAACGTCAGCCACCCGAAGTCGTAGCAACCAATCACCAGTTAAAAATATTCAGTCTTTGCTCCTGTGTATTCTTTGAAAGTCATTTTTAGTTATCAATTTTTGGCTGATTAACAACACACCGGTAATCTACAGTCTTTATTGCTCATGTCGCATATTCGGGTGACCCCGAAAGGCACAGAAGCTAGGTGAATGTCCTTCCGGTTGATGACTTGAGCGATTCAGAAGATGTATTCATAAGTATGCATTCAAAATTTGCTTGGGCACGGGAAGATGAATCTCCGTGATAAAGGTGGCCTTACCCTAACGTTCAGAAAAGACAGTGAAAGGGTCTGTGTTGTAGATAAGGTTAGATGGGTTAAGATGAGGTAAAGGCGATTCAGAGTTGACGTTAGAACTAGGTCTATGAGAGCTGGGGCAACTGTTAGTCTTAGGAATGTGTTAACTTAAGGTACGATAAGCTGCGTCGGCCTGGATTTAAGTGCGCGGTCAAGCACTATAATGAGAGGATCTATTTTTCCTGTTGAGATCGGAAAAGTGTTTACGTTTTTGGACTGACAATGCCGTTATAATACACAGCATTTTTTTGGCAGGTGAGATTTAGAGACCGCATTTCATGCAAGAGTATAACAAAATTCGGACGTTCTTGGGCAAAACAAATATTTCAAACTCATTTTGTTAACAGATTATTGGATATTTGTGGCCGCGAATAAATTAATTTCCATGTCATGACCATTTTCATATCAGTTATTACCGCAAAAAATGTCGTCATGTTATTCCGAAAGTGTAAACAAGCAAAGTTTTAAAAAATAATCCCCCCAACCATAGTAAATGCAGAGTTCTTAGTCAAAATTTAGTGGATGAGCCAATCTGCAAAAACTTTGAAGTTGTTGGAAAAATAAACCTTTATTTTCTCTAAGTAATTCACCACGTTGTTTGATCTACATCACAGGAACAAAGTCTTCGCTAAATTCTGCATCATGTGACATCTTTAATTTTTTCGCTTAACGGAGACGTTTCAGAGGAAATGACAAGGCAGCCAGAACAGAAGCAGGCACTCACTGGCACATTAATGGCGTCTTGAATGCTGCAGCATTTATATTAAAAAACCTTTAATTAATCGGATTTCAGCGCAGGACACCGTCAAACGCTCGATTATAAATGATCTTGTTTCAGTTCGTTAAAACTTCAATCAATAAGAATAATGTCAGGTTGCTCATCATTAGTGCGTGTCTTGTATTAAATTCATAAACCAATTTTTTGAGCTCATTCAAACGATCCCCGCAAACGCCATGTAAAAAACGATAATTGAGATATGTCGGGAGAACATATTTCAATAAACTATATAGCGTGAAAGGTTGTGATCAGCCAACTGCTTCATTTTTAATATGTCACTTCTAAGTGCTACCTTAGGGTTTCAATTGAAATTTTGCGTTTGATGCGATGCGGATACCTAGGGCATAGGGAACTCCGTTTCATTTTCCCTACTGGAAATGTAAGGAACAAGAGATTTCAAGGCTTCGAATATCAGACAACAGTAAAGGACTTAGAATTCGAAGGACAATAACAGATGTACTTAGACGCCCAGTATTTTGCATGTTGTTCTGTCATAAGGACAGTAGAGTAGTCTGAAATCGCAAAGTTAGATTAACACTAAGGGGTTTCAGAGTTCTCTATAAAATTTCGGGAAAGATAGCATTTGTAGTTTGTTTGGAGCAAATTCATCATCATTAGTCAGTTAGCGATCCATTTCTCCAAGGAAGAAGTTCTCAGGCGTTAGCATTGCACGGATGACAGTGTTTGCCTTATTCGATAACGAATCTAAATATAAGGTTAGTCGACCGATCAACTGACGCCAATTACAAAGGTATTCCACTAATACGCTTCTCATAAAACAACAAGTTCTCATAAGTTGATTTTCGGAGTTTACTTCAACAGTGAATTGGAAACAAGGTTTCAAGTTTTGTTTCTGAAACAATATCAGAAATCAAATTGAAACTGTTTGGTCGCTCATGCGGTCCACTGTATTAAGGTGGCCTGTTTTCTGTCAAAAACGTTAAGTTACATTACCCCACCAAAATCTGCTTTCTTGTTTCGTTCTGCACTTAAGGGTAAGCTGCTAAGTAACACATAAATTATGAATTATTTTTAGTTATTGCCTCGGTACCTGTCCGATCTTGAATTTGAATAGAAAAAAGAGGTTAAACATATGTTGAAAAAATAAATCGAGTACTTAATAATAGAGAGTTTTATAAATCACTATTAAAATTGGTTATAGACCAACTTACTGCCTGTATAAATATTTAAATTTTTAGGAAAATTTTGCTGGAATAATTATTGTCATTTAAATTAATATTCTTTGCCAAAAAAAACTAAAAAAGACACATAGTTGAGTTAATATGGTGACTTACATGGGCGTTTGCCTGTACGCAAACCGACGCTGATTTCTACCCAAAGATTGCAGAACTTCGTTTATAGAATTACATAGAGAAGTGCCTACCTACCGTACAAAAACGTATGCCTGTAACGCCGTTATTTCGCATTTAATGTTTTAAACCTTCGAGATGTTTCAATCTAATTAGTTAGATTATGGATCACTTTTGCGAGTTATATCACCTAACGTTGAGACAAACTCGGCCGCAAAATGTTAAGACTAATTTCTTCGTGTATAAAGAACATTTCAACCAGCAGTATGGTGAAATAAAAACACTGGTTTAATGGTCGTTGCCAAATAAAATAACTGTAGTCTAATAAGCATCGTCGAATACTTTAGGTAATACTTGAGCGGTAAAAGATAAAAAGAATGATTTTTAACCGCTCAAAGGCCAAAACTTATCAAACGTTGTATTTTTTTCAGAACAGCAGTCTGAGATTATTTAAGCCTGCCGTTTTTAAGTAGAGTGACGTTAGACAGGCAAACGCGAACTTACAACAAATTCGGCTTCATCGCCAATGTCTGAGGGTGTCAGACCCAGAAGTCGAGCCCACTTCTGTGTGGGTTGGGATTGAGCATGTCCAGGCAACACCTCCAAACTTGATGCCCGCCCACCCTGAGGCTTTTTTGACGGAGAGCCGACGAAATTCTCCACCAACAGATGCGATCTTGGAGAGCTTCTGTAACTGCCGCTCCCGTCATAGCGGTCGCCGTTTTCGTCTTCGTCCAGATCCTCCTCCTCTTCCCCGCCCGATTTACTGTCTAGTAGGCTTGCGTCAACCTGCGCTTCATCCGGCAGGTCTAGCAGGTTTGAATTCTTCTTCTGCAGCTTCTGTTCTTGCTTTTCTAATGCGGCAAAAACGTGCCTACACTCCGTCAGGCGTCTAGTAAGGTGCACTAGGCGCTCGACACTGCTGCTTTTAGTAGTGTCCAGATTGCTGTCTATCCCTACATTTGAATCGGCCACAGCGCAGGAGAGCTCAATATTAGGCACAGAATGCGCAGTCACTAGAGACGGCGTGGTTTTGAGAAAAGCGCTATCTTCACTCATTGTACGTTCGATCTTAAATCATGAATATCCACAAATGAACAATATTATTCTTGAAAAATCGTCTCCTAGCGCGTGACACGTAGAGGCACCATTTTAAGGATTTCATGGGTAGAGTCACGTTTTCCCCGTTCAAACTACGATTCCTATTGGTCCAGCGAATAGATGCCGACCTATTTTGCCCAATAAGAATGCTGAAACCGTAGTGGGACTGGCCAACCAGATGCCGGAACGCTACTGTTTGGTCATAGCTCAAGTTTGTATATGTCTCTTCTGGATTTATAACATACTTACTGGTTTAGGGATAAGGCAGCATGAACAGTCATATTTGCTGATAGTGGCTTAAGTTACTCGAGTGGAAACAGAAGTTATCCATAGTTTTCAACTGCCACCAATATCATTAAAATACCATGGCTTAGTTAGAGACCGCGCAACGCTATCGCGCGACTGTCAGTTGGCATCATACATTATCCTCCAGACAAAGTACATAGCACAAATTGCACAATTAAATGCATTTATAATCGTTTTTGTCCTAAATAAAGCCCTTCAACGAAAACGAATGTGCGCTGAGAAAGCGGGCCGGAAGAATAGGCTTTGCAGAATATCGCTTTAATCTTTGAAATGTAGTTGCTTGACCCTCTGTCTGCATGAAAGAACGGATCTTAGGTTTAACTTATGAACGACTCAAGCACACGTCAGCGAGGTGTCTTTTTCTGAAAAATTGTTTTCGGTTTTGCATGAGTTTAAATTTTCGTCGGTGTAAGCAATACAAATAATTTAATGTGACGCTTTGTGAAAGCGGCAATGCATGCTCTCGTAAGACTGTAGATTGTCCGAATTATATTTATGTGCACCCCGAAGAAGTCCTCCATGCAACTTCCAACTTCGAAGAATGGCACTTTTTTCCTATATCGCGTAATGTGTCTTTTTTTCATGAATGCAAATGTGAGATAGAAAAGTCTAAACATCAAAAGACATATGTTTATTAATTTAGATTATTCTTGTAAAAATGTAGGTTTTGTTCGGAAAGGCGCAAAAGTTCGCTTGAAGAAACTTTATTCAACTTCGACAATTTCACCTGAAAAACTATAAGGCAGATTAAAAACCCAAAAAACGCATAAAAAGTATGTCCGAAAATGCAATATTTGTCAAAATGAACCACAGAAAAAAGAACATTCTGCTTCTATGTTCGAAGCAGTTTGAAAAAATCGATGATCCTCGGCTACTTTCAGTATATCATCAAAACTTATGTTTTAGGTTGAGTTTCTTTTGTCATTCTACACTTGTGGTCGCAGGAAAAACATGAAATTTCAAACGCCAATAGAGGGCCTTTTTTGCTTTTTTGGTTCTATGATGGGTTTTTGCAGTCTAGGGTAGGATTTTAGGCAAAGCGCCATCTTAATTGGCATAAAAGGTTGCCTCATTTATAATGAATGCTCACAAAGAGCGCAATATGATAAAACATAAAGCACAAAATTCTAAAGACATGTTGCAGGTGTATAATGGTTTTAAATCATCTGCGAAAATCGATAAATCAGTAGACTATTGCAAAATTTGCCCCCGTTAAAGCAACGGTAAATGGCGATTACAAATTTATTTGGCCCCCAGATGTGGCTGTGATCTTGTACAGATAACGATGTTTACGATTATGCGAAAAGACATCCAAACAGCCATGCACTGAATGAATTTCCAACATTGTGCACTTAATTATGCCCCGCAGGCATTAATTTTGCGATTTTATCCATGAGGGATTTCCGCTCGGTAGGATGCCTTAAAGTGGCTAAGACGTATAATTAGTGTCGAAGTATTGTGCGCATTGGCCGATGTCAAAGAAAAAAACGTTGTCTACATGTGAATTTTATTGGGTTCTTCATCGATCTCTTTAGCCTTTACACCCGCAGTAAAATTAGTTTCGTGCTGCACTAAGGATCTTTTAGGCTCTGCAACTTTACTTCGCGTATCCAAGATCCTCATTTTGGCAGGCCTTTGCATCGCCATCGAAGTCTGCTTTTTTCACACAAACATGAGTCAATATTTAAATAACTCTCGTATTCTAACGAGAATGATAACTGCAACCTAGAAGACAACCATTATATGAACGCTTAGCAAAAACGTATTTACTGCTTACTGGCGCAATCTGCGGTCATATTCTAGGATATCAGTTTGCATAAACGGATCGTTGAGGCAATGAAATGTTGAATGAAAATAATAGCATGTTAGAATAAACCCTTACATTATCGTTAATCAACATTTGGCAGACAATTTATGGCGATGCAATTTGAAATTTCTACGATGTTAGAACGCCGCAGTAGACGGCACGGGACCTCACGTTATTTTTTAAAACTATGACACCATATAAGATCCGAATTCCTGAGCTGTTGTCAACAATACGCAGTTTTAACTAAAATAGTGCACACAGCAAGAAAAAGCACCAAACGCCGGTTTATGTGTCACTGACCGATATTATATGCAAAAGAACTGCGCATTTTTATAAATCGGTTTAGTTTACCTAGCAAAATTAGCTTCTAAGTTAATGAAGCTTTTAATATTTTGGACACTTTTAAAATTATTTAAAAGAATTTGTAAAGCATGTTTAATACAATCAACCAACAATTTTTAACATCCCGCTTTAAAATTATGTCAGCGCAGAGCTAAGCGCACAATCATTCTTAAGCCTGCTCTGTTTGCATTTGGCAAATTTTCCTAATAAACGTGGGAGTGCGCGTTAGTTACTAGGTACATTTCGAACAGGTCATAAACAACTACGCAATGCCGGATAACTTTTAAACTTTAAAAAATGCATGAGTTTACGTACACAATATAGCCCGCATAAATATAGCTAAACTTCATAACACTTAACAGCATATAAATTGCAAGTGCTTATGCCTTCATTTTTCTATTCCGGTGTACAAACTAAGCAATTAGATATTTATTTATTGCTGCGTCTATATACACGATCTATGATTAGCATTATCTAAATGATAAAGAGGTGGAAGTTTTCCCTGTAGCCTATTATTTAAATGCAAAAACTGTTACAAAAAACAAGACAAAAATATGTTATATCAAGCTTTTCAGTTTTAAGCAATTACAAGGATGGGTATGTATCCGCTAACGATCGAAGTTAGAACCAGGCATTTAATTTATTCTTTACAGTTTCAGAGAATAACTTTTATTTGTTGGGTTAAATTGGTAATAATTCGTATAAATGGATTTGCTTGTTTGGTCGCAAATATAGACAATCTAAATGCCGAGCGGTTTGCCCAATTTTCAATCAAAATATAAACAGCAGTACTTTATGCGCTTTTATACGTTTTCCCTCAGGAGTTGTGATCAATAATAAGAACGGCCTTGCCCAGGCTCACTTTCTTCCTGTCCATCAGCATCAATTATACGCCAAAGAAATTTCTATAAAAACTTATTATTTTACTTTTAACAAGTACAATTAATTTATTTCTGAGTGCAGCCATGGAAATCAAAACGATCTGCAGAACCACGACGCTGCCTCGATATGCAAGAACAGAAAGATGGTTGCGCTAGTCAACCTCAACGGCACGGTTTGAATAAGCACTGATGCGAAAAATGTTTGGTTCTTAAATTCGTCGTTACTCAATTCATCAGAAATGGGGTACCAGGGTATTAGTGTCTTTTCTATTTAGAAAGGGCAGTGTAAAATAAGTCGTTTTATATAATTAAAACCTATGACGCTAATGTCAATATTAAGCATTCTTCTCCACTAACAACTGCTATATACTACCTAATCACCAGTCATAACAAATGAGCTGAATTGGTTCAGTCAGGTAGTAAACATATAACTTAGTTTAAATAAAGTTTTTCAAAGACTCGGAAGATAACGACAAAATTTTTAAAAAAAGCATTGAATAATTGAAGTGGGATTGTAAATATTTGCTTCTTCATTCCAGTTTAAAATTTACAAACATATTATTTTCCCTTTTTCGCAAAATTTGTGGATAACCGTGAAGCAGTGTATGAGTTGTCACACATAAAGCATGTGTAGAGTAGCGAAACATCTCTAATTAGTCAAAGACTGTTTTATCAAGTCCCACACTTATAAGTAGGCTGCGTTTCGCCGGGTAAAAGTACTAACGAAACAATTAAGGGATTATTAATTTCATACAAAGTGGAGCGGAAATTCTTTAAACGCAAACTGTTTTCTTAATTTGACAAATTCAATTTTGAATCGCATAAGGCCTGTCTAAGCCGACGGCCGAGGGAATAAAACTGCACGGCCGCAGTTACTTAAAAGAAAACTTTAGATTTATTATACATGGGCATCCTTAAAGTTTGGCGAGGCAGTGTTTGAATAAAAAACATGATAATTTCGCTGCGAAGAAAATTATTTTTTCGAGTTTATGCTTTTTATTTTGCAGTTGAGGTAAACGAAGAATATATTGCTTAATTTCGTCTCGAGGAATAAAACCCTACACTCATTTATGTGTTCAGTTATATTCGTACCCGTTTCTGTGTCTCAGGTTGGTGTTTTTGGCAAAATTACTGTGCGTTTTTGAGTGAAGGTGGATAACGCTAAGCTACAGGGTGTCTTACAAATATCAACAATTGCTTTGCAGCTGTCGGTTCGGTCGATTGACTGCCCGAAGGGATTGATCCTACAGAAACAACAAAACAGCCGTCCAAACGTCCAAACGGTCACTTGGTAGTAAATCTTTTCGAGTTTACTCCTGGTATGTTCAAACACTGACGCAAACCATAAAATCAGTTCGACAACTGGCTGTATCAAATTGATCCTACTGCTTTTTATGGCATGAAATTGCACAACATTACAGTCGGGCATATTGAGTTATCGGGTATCCGACGTTCGATATCCGGATTCACCTGCTTTACAGGAGGCACAAAACCATTTTGAGGGTGCAACATCCTGTTTTGGTAAAACTCTTCGGTTTAACTTACACACTTCTGATGAGAAGACCCGATCTGGAGAGATATTAACAAAGAAATTGCTTGAATACAAGGAAAGAGTGATTTAG